GCTGTAGGCCATGAGCAGAAGCAACCCAAGAGAGAGGCTGTGTTGGCTGTAATGGCAAGGCTACTGGGGTGAGACTGCCCAAGCCCTTTGGAACTCACATTTTACCACTGTGTGCCCCGAACATGGAGCTATAGGACTTAAATACTTGGCCTGCTAAGTTTTGCTCTTGCTTTGGTTTTATTTTTTCTTCTCCTTTTTGAAATGAGATACCAGTATCAGTCTGCTGTTTATCTTTCTATAGGTTGACTGACCCCATGACTTACATGAAACTATCCCTGCCCTGCCAGTTTTCTGGCAGAAAGAAATCAAGCTAAAGATTTAAAATGTCTCCAAAATTATACTAATTTTCTTTGAAAATGTTTTAAGAAGTCTTCTTTCACTAACTGGAAAAAAAAAAGGTTATAAAACCAAGGAGAAAAGAACAAAAGGCCATCTAGTTCTAGAGGACAGATGACATATTAACTGATTCGTTTGGGTTGATTCCATTCAATTAGATGGCATTTTAACAATGGATTCTTTTCCATTGATTCCACCCAATTAGTAAACAAACTTCCTGAGGCTCTAGTAAGAACAAGGACCCACAGAATTGCCAACCATGTGTTAGTTTAGTAATACCAACTGTTTCCCTTCCTTTAGGAAATCAGACTTCCCACTCTCACTAGTTCAAAAAGGCTGCCAGTCAAAAGATTCAACTCTAGGACACAACAGTTGGCCTAAGGACAAATACAGATTCAATCCATGCAAACAGAGAAGCATCTTTCCTTAGGATTTTGTGCATGCTAGGTATATTCTATCACTGGGCTAGATGCCAGCTTTTCTTTTTTCCTTTCTCCTTCTTTTCTTTTTTTTCAAACAGGGTCTCACTAAATTGCCTAGGTTAGCCTCCCATTATGATCCTCCTGCTTCATGCAGCTGGGACTTCAGGTGTGTGCCATCCTGCCTGATTTCTTAGGACTTTACATACAGATATGAGGAATACACCATAACACTGAAACAATCTGTGGCCAGCCCTCTAGGACAATGAGCCAAAAAACAAAAAACAACAACAACAACAAAAAAACCCAAATTAAGAAAGGGTGAACGGCCATGACAAGGCTGTCAGCACCCCAGAACTCCTAGTTCTGAGACTTGATAAAGGCTCTCTTTTGCTTACCACCAGCAGATCCCTTATCGCTTGCAATCCAAATGCTTATGTGGCACAATAGCCAGAGAAGTGAAATAACTGATGAAGCAGTCTTGCGTGCTGGTTATATCATAAATTAAAAAAAACACTATGGTAGAAAGAGATAAAATCTATTGTAATCAAATGTGGTTATCTACATTCTCTAGAGAAGACTTTCCTTTATTTGTGTTTCCACATGTGCATCCTTGGATGATGCCCACGGTCTAATTACCTGATGAGATCTCTAGCTTCTCTTGAAAGAATTAACTTCAAGATAAGAGGCCTCTGACTAACTGCCAGAGACTGGTCCTTGGAAGCAAAAAGTCAAAAGCAATGGTGCCAGAATTTCTTAATTGCTGTACAAGAAAATTTCCAAGACCCATTAAGAAAAAAGCTCTACAAATAAGGCCATTGATTACCTAACAAATATCTCATTATGGAAAAAGATCAAGATGCTGACAGTATTCTGGCTTCGATGCTACACTTTAAGGAGCTAGATGAGGACCTTATGTGGTATTCTGCAGTAGTATGAAAAGCCATTCGGACACCCAAACAGAAACTGCTACAGCTTTTGTAGGTTAGTTGTGATTCTGTGAGAGTGCCCAGGTTGCATCACTTTCACTTTTACTTGTTTCTGCAGTCAGTTCCCTGTCCTCTTCCTTCCACAGTGCAGTGGGGTGGGAAGGGAGCCTAAGGAGGCCTTGAAGGTGGACACTAAGGATGGCCTATCCTTGCTTTTCCCTAAGAAAGTTCCATCTACCTAATGAGACAAGTTTCAAAGGCAGAAACTTGATGTATTCAAACCTAGAACTTAGTTATCAAGTATAGGAGAAATCACTTAAGTTCTTTAACCTGTAACTCCTTCATGTACAAAATGGGTATTGCATCACATACTAATTTACTGAATACCAACACTGGTGGGCACTCAGTGAGTCTCCAAAGTTACAAAGAAGAATAGAAATAAACTCATATGAAGGTTAGGGAATTAAACACAATTAACAGAAGACTAGCGAAAAAGTAACAGACTACTTTGTCAGTCCATGGAAAAGCAATTAACTTCTCATTTGGAAACGATAAAAAGAAATGGACTGACCTAATTTAGATACAAATTCTTTGCATATAATGAAAAATAACACAAAATAAAATGAAGTACTTGAGAAATATTTGCATCACAGTGTAAAATATTCAAATCTAGAACAGATTTATTCAGTTTTACAGGGAAAGCATCACTTTTTCCAATAGATAAGTGAGCAAAATCTAGTGGACAACTCACAGGAGAAAACAGCAAACAAAAACATGGAGCCATCTTCAGTCCTCAGTGGCCCTTTTTATAGTTACTAGGCATCAAGTCAGACAAATGACCACTTGGCGAAATGGTGGGGCATGCTAGGAAGCCCCTTCACCACTGATAGTATTTTATATTGTTACAACTTATTTGGAATGCAGCACAGAGGAAGAGTCATAATCTAACCATTCACGGCTGAGGAAACCTTTCAGCAGAAACTACTGGCTCAGATTTCATAGTATTATCTACAAGGCAAACAGGGACCACTTAGAAGTTTAATGTTAGGGAACTTTCTGGTGAACTGTGTTGTATTAACAGAGGTTGTATAGATGTCAAAATAAATGTGAAGATTAGACTCATGGAAAATGTCTCAGATATGATGTAATGAAAAAATAAATAAAAATAAAAGCAAAAAAGGGTCACAGATGTAGCTCTCAGTGGCATAGTGCTTGCCTAGCATGAGTGAAGCCTTGGGTTCCTTTCCCAGAACTGAAAAAAAACCAAAACATACAAAAAATGAAAATAGCCAAAAAGCTATATAGTATGCTAGGCATCAGTTGAGGCATTCTATGCTCACCTATCATTTAATCTTCAAAATGTCTGCCAGAAAAGTACTATTATTCTTGTTTTACAAATGAAGATACTAGGGCAAAGAGAAAGTAGGTACTGGCCAAGATTACCTATCGGAGAAGTGGAGCAAATGATAAGAAACAAGATATGACTCAACAAACTGTGTTTCTAACCACTGCACTGTCTCATTTCTCTTTGACATAATGAAGATTGCAACTATGCACAATCACGGATATCTAGGGCCAAAGCAAATGTGAAATAACTGTGAAACAGGAGTAAAATGAAAAGGAATTTAATTTTTAAAACCAGCAATTTTAATGCTTTGTGATCTATTCAAGAAAACAAGCACTGAGTACCTGACCTACAATTTGCATGTAAAATTTTACCCTTGGAAAGGCGTTTGGCATCTCTAGTTCCAAATTACTTCTAACTTCACTCTATTCTAGAAAAACAGAATGAGGAAGGAGATAGTACAGGATCAGTACCAGAATGCAGCCCTCCAAGTTGGGTAGAGACCACTACATAAGGGTAAGAGCAAGCTCAAAAGATGAGGCAGACACCCAGAAGGAGAGCTAATAAAGGTAGAACTGGCTGGGGAAGGTATACAAGATTCCCCCTTACTAGAGGAGGAGAGGGCTGGAAAGGATGGGTGCACATCCAAGCAGAGGTGGATCTCTTGCTTATTTTCCATCTTACCAAAATCAGATCTCTTATCTGCTAACAGCTGATTAAGTCTAGAAACAGAAATCAGAGCCCCTGTAGAAATAGGAGGGTGGGAGTGAATGGCCTGATCTAGTTATCCGCATCCCTCCCCGCAAAAAAACTGGATTCAGTAACATGGGAACAAAGGGTGATACAGACTTAACCCCCACCATTCAAGTGTGTGTACTGTCAGTAGGCAGTCAATTAATCACTTTTTTCACAACTACACTGTCAAACCATTTATTTGTTCTTCTAAGATAAGTAGAATTCTTTAATAGTCAAATCTCAGATGACATAGATCAATGGTAAATAGAAAATTGGGGTAAAGAGAAGGAGAGGAAACTGGCGTCTGTGAGAGCGGAATAAGAAAGTTCATGCTAAGTATGTGTTTGGGGAATGGGGAAACCTGCCCCAGACATTCTGTCCTACTGACTGTCTTGCTCATTAGCACCTTCGCAAATTGGACAGATCACATCCCCAAGTTATAGGCAACACCTTCTCCCTGACTACACCACCTGTGCAATCATTTCAGAAGGTCATTTTGCACAGAGTGTGGAGGGAGAACTAATTTTTCATCAAGGCTTCTGAGACAAGGAAAGCAAAGCTAAATGCTTCAACAGACATCAACACTTTAAGGCAGCAGAGTGAGTATGGCTGAGGAAGGAGAGATGTTAAACAATGCCCTGTAAATCTGATCTTACGGATACTACATCTCAGCCAGACCAGAATCAGTTATGAGCAAAATGATTAATCACCACCTCTCTGAAATATTCAAGGTCCTCCTGTCTCTTAGGATGGAAAAAAAATCTAATGCTGAAATATGACTTTGAGGCTTTTGTTCATTCTATATTCTTTTAATAAAATAGAACAAAAAATTTTGCCTTGGGCTTGGCTGAGTTATGGGGTTTATCTCCTAAGTGGCAAAAAGCCTCATTCCTCAGTCCAATTGCCAAACTGAGCCAGAGTTATAAGAAGCCTGGTAGGGAAGAAAAAATGCCTATGCTATACCTCAGGCTACAATGCATCAAATGTGATAACAGCTCTGAAAGACAAATTTTCTCTTAATATTTAGAGAAAAATGGGCACTGCAGAACAAAATTAATTTAGCTAATGGGCAAATGCTGATGTCTGTGTGTGGCAAAGCCTGGTATCTGTTTCTGACAAATGCTGGATGAATTACAATCAAACTCTACAACTTGCAATGGGAAGGACTGGGGAAGTGTGAGAGCAAAGCCTTGGGGAGCTGCCTGAGTCACACACTCCAGGGGCACCAGCACCTACCTTCTCTGCATACTCAGACACAATCTGTTTGATCTCAGCAGAGCAGAGGCCGACGATCTGGCCCACGGAGCTTGCGGTGAGACGGCTCTGCAATCACATGGGGTATGCTCTCAAGGCCAGGTCATGCCTTTAACAGAACTGGAAAACCTAAACACTGAGTATTATTGCAAAACAGATAATATTTCCAGGGGAAAAATAATTTCCCTTTTGTCCACTTATTAATCATAAACAAGGAAGAAAACAGTCTCAGGACAAAAGTAAAAGCTACCTTGCCACCTCCTCACTCACTCAGCTGTGTCAGCTTCCCCTCAGGTCCTGGGTATCCCTGGAAACCACTCTTTACCCTCCCTGCCCCATTCCCAGGCCTCTTGATGGCCACTGAATAGAGCCAGTAAGGTATTTCATGGGCCCAGGACGCAAAAGAAGAAAAGAGCAAATGCCAGAAGACAAGAAACCTCAGGGTCCCAAACATCTCTACTGTAGACGAAATGATCCTTCCAACTACTGTACCTGGCTAAACATTTTGGATGGGCCCTGTGCTCTGAGAAGACCAACATGAATTCTGAACGCCATCTCCTACGTAATGATACTGAAAAGAGGCAGAAGATGGGGGCTCTTTTGGGACAGTGGAATCTGTGGTTATAAGGAGGCAGGGCTGACCCCCCTTTCTGGTAGAGACCTGCAAGGTCAGCTGGCAGGCAGGAACATCCTATTCTCACAAAGGCCCTCAAGTCTCCGTTTTATGGGTCTCTGCAGACTGTAATCCTATATGTTATAGAACACCTTCCCAAAAGGGAACCCTAAGGAACAAAAGACATTACTGCTTAAGAGCCAGGGTCCCCGTAGGAAGAGGCCTGCCAAAGCAGAGCCACAAGAGCCAAATCCTCCTCTGTATCTCCCCTCACCCTTACCCATGGCCCCTCACCTCCTCATTTGCCATGGCGGTCATCTTGGTCATCAGTGACTGAATACGCTGCTGAAAGAGGAACAGAAGGAGCAGCAGTGAGTGGCTCTGCTCATGTAAGACTGAACAAATGCCCCTGTAGGTCTCTGTAATGGCATCGCAGGGTCATTTTCTTGATCTGGTTTTACGGCGAGCCACATGACAGGCGATGAAAGAGAACTGGATACAAGGCCAGCTCCTGGCTGGCCATCTGGGAAAGCTAAGGATGGGAGTAACTTTCTCCTCAAATGACTGAAACCTCAAAGGACCTATACAGAGAACGTACCTCTTCAGCTGCTTGAAGCTCATCTTCCTCATGGACATCTGCTTTTTCTGTAGCTGACAGCCCTGCAGGAAGTGGTGTTTTCTTGTCCTCAGGCTGCAAAGGAAGACATAAAAACAGCTGAGCAACAGAGTTGGTAACTCAGCAGAGAAGACAACACTGCAAAGAGTCATGAGCCTGTTAAAACACGCAGATTTGGACAGCTGAATGAGCCTCTGAGCGGCACTGGACAGTCAGAGCCAAAGCTTGCATTCAACTACATTGCAGCCACATTACACTCAAGGTCTGGCTGATGCCTGTCTCCATTTCCCACCTGCTCACTGATGAAATAAATGCCAGGTCACATCTGCCAGACTTATTCTTCTACTCTGATTTTGTCTTCCTCCTACTCTAACACCTTTAAGGACAGGTCACAGGCAAGGCAGTGTTTCTTTCAACTGCCACTTGAGATCTAGTAGTGGGTAATTTAACAGGTATTACTAGAATCTACATAAATAAAATAATATACATTAGCTTGCTTCGTAGGTGGTAAAGCATTCAGTACAGTATTATTCAATGGCAGCTTTGTTTTGGGGGGAGTATGAATATGTGTACTGAATCATAATATAAAATAAGATTTTTAGTGCTACAAGTGATCAAATAAGTTTGAAAACCACTAGTTTGAAGGCAAAAAAAAAAAAAAAAATTAAACTGCTTCTTCTGTTGATCAACCTGCTTCATGTACATGTAGCCACTGGCTCTCAATGTTCTGTGCCAGCCCAAGGCACCCTGCATTGAACTGCTCTTTCTCAAACATGGGCTAAAAGCCTAGAGTTCCTGGTTTTAATCCTGTCTCCACCATCTGCCACCAAGTTGACTTCAGGCTCATTGCTGATCTCTGGCTATCAGGTTTGCAGGTGAGGATTAGCCTGACATGCCCTTCTCAGCCATCCCAACTCCAGGACACTTTTCTGTAACAAGTCTATCATTCCCCACAAAAGACCATGGACTCTTGCCTACTTGGATATATTCACAGGGGTAAGATTCCAATCCAATTGGGCCATATGATATAAGAATGACAAAACAAGCCCAATTTGTATACTATTTCAGAGACATCTCATCACTTTTTTTTTGTCTTAGCCAAACTGTCTTATCTGAGAATACAGTCATATGCACAAAATTCTCTTCTGATTCAACTTATATATCATCAAATTAAATGTATAATCAATCCCTTGCTATATACCAGATGACATATCACATAATTCAACTTCACAAAACACTATGCAAGAAATGATTATCTGGTTGAATAAAACACAAATATGGGGAAAAACAAGAAAACCAAGAAAGAAGCATCATAATCAGTACACGTCTAACTGCGAATAACCTAATGCTAACAGTAGTTCCTGCTTATTAAATGTTTACTGTGTGTTGGATCATTCTAGGTCTTTTACATCTTAATCTTCACAATGCTCTGAGGCAGATACAATGACCACCCCCATTTTACAGATGCTGTGAGCGAAGGTATATTGGTTATGCAAATTATCCAAAGTTACACAGTGAAGGGGAGGCACTCAGATTTGAAATCAGTCAGTCTAGCTTTAGAACATATGCTCCTGGTCACTGTCAGTCCTATAGGAGGGCACAGAGGGGTGTGGGAACTGGACAAGGGAAGGGGTGGCAGAAGAGCGGTAGAGAGCATGTCCTAGTTGAGGAAATCTGAGGTTAGGTACAAAATGAGAAAAGAAATTACTAATAGATCTCAAGCTGAGGGACCCTATTTTTACAAGGCTACCAGCCACTTTAGTGGGCTCTCTTTAATCACAAAAGGAATGACTACAAGCATAGTCTTTGATGTCATACAGACCTGGATTTGGATTCTTATTATAGCACTTTAAAGTTGTGTGACCTTGGACAAATCACAGAAGCTCTCTGAGCATCAGTTTTGTGACCCAAAAAACAGGACCAAGTATCCTCCTCATAGAACTGTTAAGTGAAACAATGCATGCAGATCTCTTAACAAAGTGCCTGGAACACAGGGTTTGGCACTGTAAGAGCTATGTGCCTCCTCTGCTACTAACAGCTAAGCATCACTAATAAATACACAAGTGAGAAGAAATCATTCAGACTCCTTTGTGAAGTTAGAGAATCCCAACTTGACTTACTTGGCTCTTTCATACTCAGCTGTCTTTTGGTGGGCAGGCCTATAATTTATAGATGTAGGTCATCTCACTGCTAGTACCCTGCTCACACCTGTCTAGAGGCCCTCATTCTGGGACAGGATTTTTAGACCCCACATGACCTACTTTCAATCACCTTTCCCCCTCCAGCACCAGAGGTGAAAGTGCTCAGCCTGCAGAGGTGGCAGAACAGAAATCCCAGGACAGATACACAGGGGCCAAGGGAAGCTGGCACATCCCTGCCACCTCCCCTTACCCAGGACCAGCCACTCTTGAGAGGCTCTCCAGGGAGCTGCGTTCCAGGCTGTCAGTGTCTGATAGAGGCCAATAGGTGGTCACTTACACCTCTCAAATATTCTCACCCATTATCTATGCTTTTCTCTTACCTTCTCTGTTTTGTTCTGCCGGCTAAATCCGTATCTCCTGCAGGCCACAAAAAGCAGAGTTCAGTTATTATTCAAAAATCACAATAAAATCTGTCAAATGCATTCTGGTTTGAATTTTATATGACAAGCACTAAAGAGAATTCAGGCTATTTAGTGCCTAGAGAAAATGTTTCAAATGCCTTACCCAGAAACACAGTCCACCATTCTTTGCATAAAGGGTCAGTTATCTATTTGCTACACAATTACTATAAATAGGGACTCTTCGTTGGCAGATTATACATTTTAAGCGCCATCATTACTCTTTGAATCAGGAACTGAATTTCAGAACCACAATGTATGCTAACAGCCTTTAAAATATCTGTATAAACAGATGCAACTGTGTTTGCTCAAGCCAAACATGTTCTGTAATGTCACTTTCATAACTTCAAATCCAGCACATTTTTTTATTTTCAAACATAACCCAGGCATGATGTCAGTAATGTGCATTCACTTAATGCAACTTGAATTAAAACACACACACACAGAAATGCACTTCCACTTAAGTTAGTTTACCTTCTGGCTCTAATTAATTTACATCTTAAAAAAAACAAGTATAACAAAGCAAAAACTATTAAACCTAAAACAAAAACATAATGCAAAACACCCAGCCTCACATCAAAGTTATATGCACCCACTTAAGAAAAACAAATTACACACTTTACTCTGTCCCCACGTATGCCGTGCCTCACCTGCCTGACCCACATGCTGCCTCTACTGTGCTGGAGCTGAAGCCTCATTCCCTCCCATCTTCCTGCTCATTCTTTATCCAACTTCATGGTGCCTGGTGCAGCGTGTCACCGGCAGGCCTCTCCTCTCAGGAGAAAAGGGATCTCCTCAGCAGCTCCAGTGCAGCTTTTCACTGCCACCTTGTACACTCCTGCTCCATCTACTTCCTGAACAGGGAACTTGGCACATACTCTTCTCTCTTTCATTTCCTGATTTGCCTTTCACCCTTCAACCCCTCAACCCCTCAGCACTAAAGCAGTTTTCTCTCCAAAGCACCCAACACACACACACACACACACACACACACACACACACACACACACACACACACAGCCCTGGTGCATAGATCTGACATCTGGGCAGACTCCTCTCATTTCCCAGAAGCAATTACATCCAACTACCTAGTTATATATCTGCATCCTTCTTCTTGAGGATAACGATCCTGCTTTTACATTCCACCTTCCTTTTCTGATCGTGGGGACTGAAACCAAGGCTTCATCCATGCTAAACAAGCATACTTGTATGGAACTACCTCCCAGCCTCCCTCTTACATTTTGTATCTCTAATTCTTACTGAATTAATAAACTAAACATAAATAAAAAATGCAGAAATCAAGATGCTGTAAATGTAGCCTGAGTTTTCTGTCATAACTGGAGACCTAGGCAATGTTACCATCCTTTGGGCACAAAATTGCAGCATTAAAGTACAGCAAACTGAATCTAAAGTTATTTAGGTCTCCACACAAATTCTGTAAAGGGCGTTAGGGCACACTCTGTGAACTGGCCTAATCAATATCAATTGTATCTTTTTGTAGTACTACTGCAGAAGCAGGAAAAAAAAGACTATTTTCCATACTTCTGACAGCTAGGGTTCTGACTGCTGTTTAGTCTCATCAATTGGAAGCATTTGTTGGAGTTGTGAATGAGGAACAGCTAAATGAGGAGAAAAGGAGGGCACAGAGGATCCACTGAAGAGCACAGGAGTGTGGTTTTGAGGTAGCAGCTATCACAACGGCTTCCTGGTCTTGCAGCAAGGGCTTCCTGATTTGGGCAGAAGTGGCATGGTATGCTGTGGGCAGCTGTGGCACCAGCTCCCTAATTCTCCAGGTTGCTAGCTAGCTTCCTAAGCATGCAGTCAGAAGCAGCTCCCTTGGTCCAGCTCTACTGTGAGGCCTGGGAGATCAGCCTGCTGCCCATCACTCACTGTGATCAGTGAAATCCTTCTGCTGAAACTAGTAGCAGGATTCTGTTCTCACACAGGGAACCCTGACCAACACAAGGTCTCACCAAAGCTTCCCACTGATGTCTTTGCATCTGTAACATTCCTTGTTTTTCCAGGCCTTTACTCTGTGGAGAGCCTTGGGGCAGAGGACACACCCTCAGGTAGTGAGCCCTTATCTAAGGCCCAGACACTTCATGAATTATCCAAATGGAGAAATAAACAACTAAATCTGAATGACTCCTTCCCCAAGTCCCATGTATTCCTCTATAAAGATAGAGAAAAACTCTTCTCACCACTTAAAAGCAGGTTACCCTCACAGTTGTGTGCTTCTTCATTTATACCAAATGCACACTCATTACACAGTGTAAAATAACTACCTATTATACATAATCTTTCAGGCCTGCCTCTTAAGCTCCTAGAAGGAGGAATTTGCTTTATTTATATTTATTTTTAACATTAAAGCTGGTATCATGATGGTCACATCTGGCTTAGGGCCCGAACTAACTCAGATTGTTATTAGATAGACTAGTTTTTATCCTTCAGAAGGAAAGACTTGCCTTCATATTATCATCTCAAATAAAAAAGTCATTGCCTTTCCTTGGAAAATTATAAACATTAAGCCTAATCTCCTTCCTCCTGGTTTTCTCCAGTACCCTAAAGGAAGAAGCCATCAGATGCTCATTCAGGGAGATGCTAATAAGTGCAGTTAGTTCCAGCCACCCAACAAGGGCTAGGCTGTAAGGCAAAGCAGGAACCTCTGTCAGCACAGCAGAAGGAGCAGGAGGAGATATACTTACATCAAGGGATCAGATATCCTAAGTAGAGAATGCAGGACATAAATGAAGGTCAATATCTAGTGTTAACCAAAACATTTAATGGACAGAAGCAGTCCTTGTAAGGTTCAAAAGTAAAAATAGGTTATAAAATAACTTTTAAAAACACTAGGTAAGAAGTAACGACACTACTTCTAAAGTCTTCATTTCCCTAATTAGGACAATAGTCACACAAATCCAAAATTATTATTCTAATGGCATAAAACTGCTGAAAGTGCTTCCATATTTTCCGTTTACTGAACGTTTTAGTAAGTGGCAGGACCTGAATGTCAGATATGTCACAGCCTCTACAAATGTTATAAGCACATTTCCAGAGGGCAACTGCAAAGGCAAGCCACAGAAACTTAGCTAATACGAGAGAGGCAAGTCTCCGATGCTGGAAATCTCAGGGGTAAAAACAATAAACACGGTCAGATAGAATCCAGTTAATACAAATAAAGAGATTTAAATCAGCGTTTTTTTTTTGTTTTTTTTTTTTTAATTAAACGGACACCTAGAATGGGCCTCATTCATTACCTGCCATATTCTAAAAGTGTCGCATGGATTCGAGACTCTTCATCAAGCAGCTCCTCTGCCCCCTGTTGGCGTTTGTACTTCCGACGTGGCTTGTAAACATCCTAAGTGGATGAGACAGACAAGTCATAAGCGTAAGAAGGCTCTCCTACACAGGCTGCTGGATGCCTCCAGCCAGGCAGGGTTACAGGTCTTTCCCAAATACTGTGAGTGCTTTTGCTGTAGGACATGGCATTCAGGGAAGCTGCTTTTAGGGAGCATGTTCTACATGAGACAGAGACAAGACTTGTGAAAGCTTGGGTAAGACCATGAATGGCACTTCTGGTTACTTGAGACGATTTGTTTTTGCCTACACAGCACGTGAGTGCCTACAAAAGAAGGGCCTTCACTTTTAATCGTTTATTACAATGATCACTGCTCACTGAAAAAGGTCCAAGTACCTACATTTATGGATCACCAACCCTGCCCAACAAGTTAACACTGTTTGCTGGGTACCCTTCTACATCATTCACAGATGTGAACTCAGCCACTGACTTGTTACTGTGGTATAAATAAAAATAATGGAACAAACCTCAGAAAGCAATCAAATTCTCTTCAGTTTTTTGTCGTGTTCCATATTTGCTTTAAGTTACATAATTTTACAAGTGGATATATTCCTCTAAAAAGTTTCAAACAGTATGAAGGATGCAAATTGTTTAAAAAGTCCTGTCTTACCCTCTCTTCCCCTAAATCGAAGTTCCCTCCAGGCACCACTGTCTGCTGACAGGTGTACATCCTTCCAAACCTTTGGATATTTACATAATCACATGTATGTAATGCAATGTTTAGATAGTTTGCCTATGTAAGGGAAAATATAATGATACAATGTCCTACAACTATTTTTTTCTTAATACTATATATTGGTGATTTCCACGAAAAAAAAAAATCAACACACAAAGCCACTTCATCCTTTTAAACTAGATGTAATATTCTTTAAAGCAGATAGCTATTGCCTAGTTTATCTAATCTACTGAAGCATATTCAGGTAACTTTCACGTTCTTCATTATAAACAATGCTTGTCCTTATGTCAAAGTAAATCAGTAATGCAGAAACTTAGAAGTAAATTCACTGGTTCGAAGGGAAGGATGTTTACCCACCAGGCTGAGCCAAAGAAACAAACTACTGACTTAAGTGCCTACCAATTTGTTAACCATAACTTTGGCAACAGCAATATTTATAAGCTTTTAATTTTTATATATCTTATAGGTACAAAACACTTCACTACTTTGATCTATACTGCCTAAATTATTAGTGGAACTGGGAATCTTATTTATTGCCATATATATCATTCATATTCTGTTCTTCTACTGATTAACTTCTCTTGTTTTTTTTGTCTTCTTGAGACAGTGTTGTCCTCCACAGTTCAGGCTGGCCTTGAACTTACTTTGTAGCCCAGGTTGGCCTCAAACTCAAGCAATCTTCCTGGCTCAGCAGGAAGCACTGGGATTACAGACATGTGCCACCATGCCCAGTATCATTTTCTTGTAATTTGCAAGCATGCTTTATAATCTCAGTACTGTTCTTTTTACTTCTACTTCTTTTTTTTTGGTACTGGGAATTGAACTCAGGACCTCACACTTGCAAGGCAGGCGCTGTGCCGCTGAGCTACACCTCCAGCCCTTCATTTCTACCTCTGTAGCAAATATCTTCACCCAAGTACTAAAGTTTATCAGCTTTCAATTTATGGGTTTTGGTTCTATGACATTTCAATTTCTTACATTTTCAGTTTTATCAATCGTTTTCTTTACAGTACCTAGATTTTTATTATTTTATTTTATTTATTTTTGGCAGTACTGGTGGTTGAACTGAGGGCCTTTGCACTGAGTTACCACACCACCAACATCCCTTTACTTTTTACACTGAGCCAAGGTTTCATTAGGTCTCCAAGCTGCCCCGACTGGACTAAAACGAGTGATTCTACAGCTTTTGCACCTCCCACCACACCTGCTTCACTTCTTATTCCACAGATTGTTTAAAAAAAACTCATGTTACTTTTATAGATTATGTTTAGCTTATAGTTTACATCTGGACTTTTAACCTATGCAAATGTTTTTGGTATAATGAAAGATGGAAATCCAACGTTTTTCTGAATAGAAAATTAAGAATCCCAACACTGTCAATTTAAAAGTCCATCCTACTGCGAATTTGAAATGGTACTGAATTTTGCACACATTTCTCCTCACAATGTGTTTCTTTAATCTGTTTTGCTTTATAATTCCCCATCCTGTCTCTCCACCGTTCTTTTTTTGAATTTCCTACCTTTTGCATTTTCTCTACCTTAAACATTTCCTACTTTAGTATCAGCCCTTCAAGTTCACTATAAAAAACACTTGATTTTTTTTATTAGAATCACACCAAATTTATATTCCTTTGGGAAGAACTGAGACCTTTATAATACTGACTCTACCTGAGAAACAAGGAATTTGCTTTCTCCTCTAAAGTTTTTTTAGTCTTGAACCCAAGATTTCAAGTGAGGTCATTACATAATCAAGACCCTTCTACCACTCAGAGCCACAAACCAGTTCACCCATCACAGACTTGTGTTAACAGAGTCTTACAAATAAAATTTCTGTATGTCAAAGGAGATTTCAATTCGTTTAGATTCTAATACCAGAAAAGTAGAGTGACTAAAAACATTCAGATCTTATGTTATCTACATTGGTTTCAAACTTCTAGGCTCAAGAAACCCCTCTACTTTAGCCTCAAGTCTAGGATAACAGGCTTGTGCCACTGCTTAGCTCAAATAGATAAAAATGTTTTACATAAAAATGTAGAAGTAAATATAGATCTATTTTGTATCGCACACATCTTGAAGTGACTTTATACACACACATTATATACATAGTATGAGGTATATAAGTGGGTGTTCAATAAATGTAGACTTTTATCCCCAGGTGACTTGCTTTGTCATTCTACCCCAAATGAATATAGTGGCATTTTATTCCAATTAGAATTGCCCCCCTCCCCTCCAAAATTCTCTGGTTATTTCTATTTTACTTTCAATTTTAAAGTTTCAAACTATCTGTGACACACTCTATAAGATCTCGACAATTCTGTGGAACAGGGAAAGTAAGATGGCCTGGATGATTCTGCAGGGCTGTCCCCACAAACTGCTGCCACCAATATTCTCTGCTTTGCTCTGGTGTTCACATGAATGGCAAGCTATAAATAACATAAACAGACTTATAGTTAAGTGAAAAATATAATGATGTAGTTATTGTGTGTAATTTAATGTTCACTGAAATTGAATAGCTCTATTATAAATAAATACAACTAAAATAGCACTACTATTATAGGAGTGCTATATAATTGAGCTTAACTGCCATCTTCCTTAGTTACCATTGAAAGAGTCAATGACCCAAGACAGGAAATTGGATTCTTCTAAAAAAGGACTGATTTTAAAATAACAGAATACTGCAAACAACAGTTCAAAGTACTTTTTATCCTGCCAAACAATAACAATGCTGGCTTTTTATATACTTTCCACTTTAGAGTATAAACCTTCATATAAAACTGTTCTTCAGTTCAACTCAATTCTTTACATGATTCTGGTCACAAACCAAACTGGACCAGAACTAAATCAAATTCAATGGTTACTTCCCAATAAAGTTCAATACTGACCTTATGGGGAAAACCGATGTGCTTCTCATCCAATCTGGCTTGCAACTAGAATCGTAGAAAGAATTAAGTCCATGAACTGACTGAATTTTATAACCACACTGTGAAGTAGAGTCAAGGCGCATAATAAGTTTTACTTTTAACAAGGAAGCAGAGATGAAATATTTTGTAAGATCCCTAGAATAGTATTATGCCTAGTATTAACCCATAGGTTCCTTGGCTTCTAATCCCCAAAGCTTTCTACTATACTAATTTGCCTATGCAGACATTTTAACTACCCATCAGCCATTTGATTTAGCCCTCTCACAAGATGTATTATTCAACTTGTAGCAGCCATATGGATCATTATAATAGTTTATTAAACAATAAAGACCTAAATGCTAGAGTTTTCTAGGCCACTATAAAATAACTATTGCTAAATCACTCTTTAAAGCAACAGTAGTCAGGAAGGTTGTCCAATCTCTGCCACTAACCAGCTATATGAACTTGAGAAAAAGGTTCCCTCAACAGGCCTGTTTCCTTATCTGTAAAATGAGCATGGACTAACAAATCTGGGAGGATATTCCCAGTCTCTCATTCTTTGTGTTCTTTTAAACCAATAAACATACTGACTTGGTAACATAATTGTGTCAGTAATTTCAAGTCTAAGATTTATTAATTGATTTCTAAAAATCATGCTTTATACATGATTATGGTCTTTTAAAAACAGATACACAGAACCAACTTACTCTTCTGTCACTAACAGTGACCACGGTGGCAATGGCTGTCATTTATTAATGGTCAGTACGTGCCGGGCAGGTAGACTGCTTTCTCTGTGTTGCCCATTTGATTCTTACGCACATAGACATAGTTATCCTTGCTGTCTATATAAAATTGAGGCAAGTAAGTTAAACTTGCCTGTGGTTACCAAGCTAGTAAATGACAGAGACAAGAAGACACAAGAAATGGACTCAGAAGCACTTTGTAAAATGTATTATGTCTCAATTCTGACCATCCTTCATTGTGGATTCTGCTATTTTGTCTTGGCAGGAGATAAAGGACATAGGAGTGGATTTAAAAAAAAAATTAAGGAGACCCTTTTGCACTCCTGCACCCTGAGAATCAGGTCTCAATTTGCAGGTCTGGTTAGCTGGTTCCACCTGTCAGAGGCACATCTCTGAGTCCACACTCCAAATGGCAGCGCAGGGAAGCAGAACTCACTGCACCACTGTAGGGTCTACAACAAGTCCCTGATCGCTCTCTGCACAATTACCACAGACACCTACTTTACTGAAAATGGAGCTGGCTGTGAAACAGCCACTATCAATCTGGCATTCTACAGTCAAGAGCGCTAGTGGGTCAGTGATACTCAGCTCTCAGGAGACAACATTTTCCTCCCTCTGTTACTTTAACTTTTGTGGCTTCCCATCTGTAAAACAGGTATAAGAAGAACTGTGAGGACTAATC